AACCATCTCTAAGGTTTACAGAGAATGGTTCGTAAAAGAGAAAAGATCCAGTTGTGTAGAGGAAAATGCCTTGTTGATGTTAGTGGTCAAAGGAGAATGGGCAGACTGGTTCGAGATAATAGAAAGGCAACAGTAACTCATGTCAAAATGGACCAATATCTCAGAGGAATGTTTCCAACACCTTGTTGAATCAATGCCACGAAAAATTAAGGTAGTTCTGAAGAGAAAATGAGTGGCCAGTGAGTGTATCTGCTAATATTCACAATATATATATATATATGTATTTTATTATTATATGTTATTGTGCAGATCAAATATGCTCTCGCAAGCTCATTGGTTGTATATCCCATTCCATCTGTATCTCTGACACCTGCTTGTCCATCCCAAGTGCACCTTTCATCATATCCTTAAGGGCAACCAAAAGAGGGAGTAAATAGAAGAAATAAGCACCAATAGTGCAATCAATTTATTAAAATCTCTAAGACATTCAAAACTTTGAATATCAAACAGATCATCAGCATCAATAAATTTCCTACCTATGTGTTTCACCCCTTTGGGCTCACTTCATCTGGCACTGAGCCCAGGTAATGAATATAAGAGCATTTTCGGGTGCTCTATGCCACACATTATTTTAGTGCAAGGCTTTTTGGTCAGTTCTGGACCCATTACCCTAACCTGACAATTGCCCTGTCTCAGTGAGCTGTGTCCTCACTATGCGGTTAGATCACACACTTATCAATGAAATTGTTCCTTATAGCATTTGACAACTTTCACACAAACTGTATTAGTGTTAAAGGGAATGCTCACCTTCCTCTTCCAGAGGTTTATAATGTGGGAGGGGCGAGAGGATGGTCGTAAAATCATGTGATAACAGAGCAAAGTGAGAAAAGTATCACGCACAAGCACAACTACACAGGCAAAAAAAAAACAAACAGTGATCTCTACAGAATGGTGGTGTGGTGAGTGGCTGAAAGGGAACAAATGCCTGCCATAGACACTAAATTCTATTACTGCTTTAAACAAAAGTAACCTCTGTAGTCTCACAAATCCCACAGTAAGAAAAGTTATTTATGGTAAAAGCCATGTTCACTTTTAACAATGCTGCCTAAAAGATATTCACCGTATTCCTTAGGTTTTTTTTAATTACTTATCCCCCCTTTTTGCTGATAATTTCACCTTTTCTGTGTCCTTTGGTCTACCCTATTATGTAATGGTTGCTGGAGAAAACACCTGATTTTTACTATCAGTCATTGGAGAATTGTAAAGCTCCCCCACACATATCACAATTTGTTTGTACAATCTCCTTTAGATCTACCAACAACCATGTAGTGCAAGGGCCTTCCAGATTAGTTACATATTGATTGGATAGTTTAGGTAGGTCCTCATTATAAATAGTTTTGGTAAATCTAATGCTGAGTGTACAAAGATTTTAAAATCTGATTGTATGGTCAGATGTATTGTCACCCTAAAGGCATTCATATTATAATCACCATGTAGGTTACAATCTGACCAAACAACCAAAGAACCTCTGTACAATCAACTTCAGATTGACCAAAAATATGTAATATGAGGACCTACATTGTGCATAGAACTACGAACAAGGAACCAACCTGGGTGGGACTTTTAGGGTACTATAACCATCCAAAAATGCAAATACTGTTAAAATGATTGTAATTTCAGTGGACACAAAAGTTAAAAGCTAATAAAAGACACAATACATATATGCATAAATCATTTAGCATTGAAACCTCCACTTTGGCCAAAAAACTGGTATCAAGACCTTTATAGATTGCCAGTAAATACTGTATTGTTCTTGAATTAAAAGAATGTCAAACCACCTTAAAGCATTTTGTAGACTCTTGTCCACTTATTCAGGAGTAATAGATGGAGGTTCATCTATGTGTGTTATTCTGTGTTAAACTTTGCTAATAAGAAACATTTTATGGCTGTGTTTGCAGCCATCCTTGCTGCTGAAATGAGGAGGGACCCGAGGAGCTCTTCGACTGAATGCACAAGATCAGCAAATGGGGACACTAGATCACATACAGTAGTATGATAAGTATGAGTCTTATTCCAATGTTTCTTAAATATACATTCACTTGCCACTTTATTAGGTACACCTTACTAGTACCAAGTTGGACCCCCTTTTGCCTTCAGAACTGCCTTAATTTTTCATGGCATTCAACAAAGTGTTGGAAACATTCCTCAGAGATTTTGGTCCATATTGACATGAGTTACTGTTGCCTTTCTATCATCTCAAACCAGTCTGCCCATTCTCCTATGACTTCCTCTCCTCTGAAATACTCAGACCAGCCCATCTCGCACCAAAAACCATGCCATGTTCAAAATCACTTATATCCCCTTTCTTCCCCATTCTGATGCTTGGTTTGAACTTCAGCAAGTCATCTTCACCACGTCTACATGCCTAAATGCATTGAGTTGCTGCCATGTGAATGGTTGATTAGCTAAATGGGATTGGCTAAATGGTTAGCACTTCCGCCTGGGCAGTACTAGCTTCGTTGGCTCAAATCCCAACCCCGACACCACCTGCCTGGAGTTTGCATATTCTCCCTTTACCTGCATGGGTTTCCTCTGGGTACTCTGGTTTCCTCCCACACTCCAAAGACATGCTCTTAGGTAATTGGAGATGCATATATGAATGTAAGTTCGGGACCTTACATTGTACACTCCTTGAGAGTTAGGGACTAATGTGAATGTACAATATATATGTAAAGCGCTGCGTAAATTGACATATATAAGTACCTGGAATAAATAAACAAATTAGCAATTTGTGCTACCAAGCAATTGAACGGGTGTACCTAGTAAAGTGGCCGGTGAGTGTACATATCCCTTTAGCCAAATGGGCAACCTAAAACACATTGAGCTCTCTATAAGATGTTCACTGTCCATGAAAATGATAACAGTTCTGTATTGTAGCTGGTAATCATAGCCCCTCTTGGTAACTTTAGTTGAATGATACAGTAAGCAGGGTAGATGACATCTTCCTATAACCTACATAGGCAAAGAAGAAGCTCATGTAAATAATTCCCCTCACATGGAACTTGTATCAGTGAATGGTAAAAAAATATTAATTCCTAAGGATAAATGACATATGGTTAAGAAACCGAATATCCCCCTTTCCGAATCATAACAATAGGACCCAAATACCCAGAGAGACATTATATAGGCTAATGCATCCAAGCTGTCTCATATGGGGCATGAACTAGTATACGGTTGCCAGAGCTTCAATTGCATCAATGTTAGGCTATTGCATCCAAAATCTCCCATCTCTATGGGGCACACAGAGCTAAATTACTTCCCATATATGTGTTCAGCTATTTTTGTAGCTGCTAGCTAGAAGTAAAACATAAATATGTTGGTTTGGACTGGCTTTGTTAAGCTGCCAGCACATCATTAATAAATCCCAACACCAGTTACCCCAGTTAACAAGTCTTTATTGAATCCTTTTATTGGTTCTAGACTGTTCCAGGAGAATTGTCTTTACACATATACTGTATGTGCTTGTTTCTGGCAAATCAAGAAATGTAGGCTTGGCTTTGGCCTAGGTCACGCTGCAGTCAATCCGTTCCTCACACTGTGGTTTTGTGAAGCGTCAAAGCACAGTTTTCCATTTGACTTGTGCGTTTTCCTCATTTTATGGCTGCTGTGTGATCCTGGGCATTTAATTTATAGATATACTCAGGCTGAATAAAAAATCTATCGTCATCTACAGGAGATTTACAGTTTTTTTCCCCTCTAATTTATGGGATTTTTTACACTTTTACTGGTCTCGAATTATGTGCTGCAGGAGTTAAGATGTGTTTGCAACAGCAGAGTGTCAGTTCCAGGTCTGAGAGATATATGGCAAATCCATAGGAAAGGTCCAATTTATTGAGGATGCAGGGAAGAATTTGCCTTGAGCGAAAAGCTGAAACAAACATTGTTCCCGCTTCCTGGGGCTGCACACTAATAACGTTTTCATTCAGGTCTCTTTGTCTTAAATCATGTTCTACCTGCCCCATGTAAATATGTCTGTAAGTTTTATTATGTGTTGTGCATAATGCTTAGTTAGTTAAAGGGAATTTCCAGTCTAAATACGAATGTAATGTGTGATATTTACCTCTCTCGCGCTCCACGCTTCATGCTGGAAGCTGTTGCCTCCTCATCTTTTTCTGCTTCCGCCTTGGTGTGGCATTGTGGCTACTATAGATGAGCTCACCGAACTTAGTCCAAACACACATGATCTATCCCTCAGATTGTCAACGCGGACTGCCAATCATTCACAGCTGAGACTGAAGACATTCTCTGCTCCACAGTATAATATATTTGTGTGGCTGTGGGGTGGGGAATGCCTCGTCCTCTTAACCACTTGCCTACCAGGCACTTATACCCCTTCTTTACCAGGCCAATTTTCAGCTTTCAGCGCTGTCGCACTTTGAATGACAATGCAACATTGTACCCATATGAAATTTTGATCATTTTTTTCTCACAAATAGAGCTTTCTTTTGGTGGTATTTAATCACCGCTGGGCACTTTACTATTTGCGCTATAAACAAAAAAAGTGCAAAAATTTTGAAAAAAAAAAAAAGTTTCTTTGTTTCTATTATAAAATTTTTCAAACAGGTAATTTTTCTCCTTCACTCATGTACATTGATGAGGCAACACTGATGGGCACTAATAGGCGGCACTGATGGGCACTGATAGACAGCACTAATGAGGTGGCACGGATAGGCGGCACTGATAAGAAGCACTAATGAGGTGTCACGGATAGGCGGCACTGATAGGTGGCACTGATAGACAGCACTGATAGGTGGCACTGACTGGCATCACTGCTGGGCACTGACTGGCAGCACTGCTAGGCATTGACTGGCACAACTGTGGGCACTGACTGGCACAACCGCTGGGCACTGACTGGTGGCACTGACTGGCAGCACTGCTGGGCTGCACTGATGGGCACTGGTGGGGTGGCACTGGTGGGCACAGATGGGTGGCACTGCTGGGCACAGGTAGGTGGCACTTCTGAGCACAGGTGTGTGGCACTGCTGGGTGGCACAGGTGGGTGCACTGCTGGGCACAGGTGGGCGCACACTAGGCACAGGTGGGTGCACTGCTGGTCACAGGTGGGCGGAACTGGTGGGTGGCACTGCTGGGCACCGATCATCAGGGCACTGATCATCAGTGCCCTGATGATCGGTGCCGATCACTGCTCTGACAGCGTGAGCAAAGTGCCGAGAACCGGCAATTGCATTTCGTGGTGATCAGCATGTCATTGGACACGCTGATCACGTGGTAAAAGGCCGCTGTGATTGGCCTTTTACCACATCACGTGATCAGCTGTGTCCGTAGGACACAGCGATCACGGAGATTGCCGGGGGTTAGCCCCCGGGGGCGCGCAGGAGAGCGCATTCTGGGAGGACGTCATATGGCACCCTCCCAGAACTGGCCGGCCGCAGTGTAGCCGTCATTCGGCTATCTGCGGTCGGCAGGTGGTTAAAATTGGCGGTCCTCAATGACAACTTCCTGGAAGGATACCTCAGGTGGGTTAATACTATGGTCCAAACACACCTAAGCTCATCTTTTGTGGCTACCATAACACCACACATGCTGAGTGGGGTCCCTCAATAAGTTCAGAAGGGCTCAAGGGCTCGTGGAGGATACCTTTGCTTGGAAGGTAAATTAAAGTTTAAAGCGGAGCTCCACCCAAAAGGGGAAGTTCTGCTTTAAGGACTGCTCCCCCCGCTCCCCATTAAGGATTGGCACCTTTGGGGAGCGAGGGGGGGAACGGGGAAGTTCTGCTTTAAGGACTGCTCCCCCGCTCCCCATTAAGGATTGGCACCTTTGGGGGGCGGGGGGGGAGCAGGTACCTAAATTTGACAGGTACCCGCTCCCACTTCTGGTCCGATTGCCTCCCTCCTTTCCTCCCTGTAGTCTTTTGGGACACGTGACAGGTCCCAGAAGACTGCAGGACCATTCACGAAGCGCAGCGCTACTCGCACATGTGCAGTGGGTACCCTTGCTGTGAAGCCGCAAGCTATCACAGCTGGGTGCCCACAATCAGGATGCCGGCACCTGGAACACAGGACGGCTGGTGAAACGGGCTGCGGGGGACACACCACGGGATCGAGGGACAGGTAAGTGGCTGTTTTTTAAAAGTCAGCAGCTACAGTTTTTGTAGCTGCTGATTTTTATTTTTTGATAGGTCGAGTGGAACTCAATCTAAATCCATAAACACATATTTAATATATTGCAGTTTATTAGTCCTTAGATGAGGTGGCTGAAATAATTTTATTTTTTTCATGCTTTTTTCACTTTATTTTTCCTGGGGATTATGCCAGGTATACCCTTCCTGTCCTAGTGTGATAATGCTTACTTGCCCTACTGTATCTATGGGAAGAAGCAGTGTTGACACTCTAAGACAAGACTACAGAAGCCTCCCCCTTGCTTATTCTCTATAATATACAGGGACAGGGTTCTAAAGTGCTCAGAGATAAAATGCCAGATAACATGATTTCTGGACAGATCACCATGTAGTTTTTGCACCTATTGAACAGATATAATAAAACTTTCTTAATGTTATTAGAGGCATTCAAGTCAAACCAAGACTTTTGAGTTTATATAATAAAAGAACAGATTTCAAGGAGTGGAAACTGCATTTATTTTTCAACATACTCCCCTGCTACACTTATCCAGCGTTACTCCAATGCCTGGAAAGCTTTGGCATAGAAAGATTTGTCAGTACGCCTGAACCATCCTAGGACAGCCTGCATCACTTTGTCATCAGTGCTGAAATTCTGATCTCTGAGGAACTCTTTTAGAGGTCAAAACAGCCTGGGCTGTAAGGGGGATGATGCAATACTTCCCAGCCGAGTTGCTGTAATGTGGTGAGCAGTATGAGCTTGCATGTTGTCCTGGAGAAATAGGACACCCAGTGATCAGACCAAGCCATTTAATCCACATACGCGTATGCACATCACTCGATGAACACGATATATAATATTCACTGTTGATAGTGGCACCAGCGTGTGCTAACTTGTCAAAAATGTGAATGATTGTGTTCACCGTTCCCACTGAAAGATTCATCTCTTGCGCAGTTTCGTGACAGGTTATGCATGGATTATCCAGGATCAGGAGTTCCATGTGCTGAATGTTCACAGAAATGACTGCAGTGGTCTGCGAATCACCATGGCCTGGATCGGCACTGATGGATACATGGCCATCTTTGAAACGCTTACACTTTTCAGATGTCTTACTGCGGCTGAGCGTCTTATCTCCGTACTGTGATTGAAGTCTTCTGTAGATATCTGCAGGTTTTACGCCTCCACTCACACAAGAAACCTCATCACCACATGCACTAACACTGTTGTCTGCCATCTTGATTAACCTCTTCCCTACCGCGCTATAGCCGAAAGACGGCTACAGCGCGGTTGTCTAGTTCTAGGACAACGTCCATGGACACCATTCCGGAACACGCCCACTGCGCCTGCAGACACAGCTGATCACGTGATATGATAAATGGCAAATCACAGCGGCCTTTTACCACATGATCAGCTGTGTCCAATGACACAGCAGATCACCGGGTAAATACAGTTGCCAGTTATTGTCTGCACTTTCCTCACGCTGTCACAGCATCATCAGTGCCGATCACTTCTTTAACAATTGCCGGTTATCGGCAGTACTTTCCCTCATGAAAGTACTGCCGATAACCGGCAATTGTTAAAGAAGTGATCAGCACTGATCATCAGTGCCCTGATGATCAGTGCCAAGCAGTGTCGCGCACCTCTGCCACCCACCTGTGCCCATCAGTGCCTCCCACCTGTACCCATCAGTGCCATCCACCTGTGCCCATCAGTGCTACCCACCTGTACCCATCAGTGCCACCCATCTGTGCCCTTCAGCGCCACCCACCTGGGCCCAGAAGTGCCACCCACCTGTGCCCATCAGTGCCATCCACCTTTACCCATCAGTGCTACCCACCTGTGCCCATCAGTGCCACCCACCTGTGCCCAGCAGTGCCACCCAACAGTGCCACCCATCAGTGCTGCCTTTCAGTGCAGCATCATCAGTGCCATCTCATCAGTGCCTCCTATCAGTGCCCATCAGTGCTGCCTATCCGTGCCACCTCATCATTGCCTATCACTACTGCCTATCAGTGCAGCCTCATCAACGCACATCAGTGAAGGAGAAAAATTACCTGTTTGCAAAATGTTATAATAGAAACAAAGAAAAACTCTTTTTTCTTCAAATCTTTTGCTTTTTTTTTATTTATAGCGCAAAAATAAAACACCCAGTGGCAATTAAATACCACCAAAAGAAATCTCTATTTGTGTGGAAAAAAAATATAAAAATTTCATATGGGTACAGTGTTGCATGACTGCACAATTTTCATTCAAAGTGCGACAGTGCTGAAAACTGAAAATTGGCCTGGGCAGGAAGGGGGTATAAGTGCCTGGTAGGCAAGTGGTTAAGGGTATCTGGACTGGTCTGTGATATGTGTGCCGTCTATCAGTAATAGGACACACTTGCCACTTACTACTGAGTGTAGTACCGCCACACTATCAACCCTTTTTATACCTGTAAAATTAAAAGTCCCGGTTTGACTTGAACACCCCCTGTATATTTACCACCCCAAAAGGGACCAACTGAGAGAAGTCAATTTCTTAACTTCTTAAAGAACTCTAGGCAAAATGTTTATTTTACCATGCAGTGGGGCTGTGCCTGCACTGCATCGGTTAACTGCTCATTTTATCCCTGGGTGCAAATGGAAAAGCTATACTTACCCAATTCTTCGATCCTCTGGAAAACAGAGCTCCTCCACATGGAACGTTCCTGCCGTCCTCCCATCCAGAGCCAGTCTGTGTGCGTGATGATGCCTGGAACAGTTCATTCACAAGATCACTAGCATGCCGGGGGGTGTGCAGGACTGATCTTGCACTTGGAGGAAAGGTGGATTAGGTAAGTATATCTCCGCTCTGCAATCCTCTAGACAAAAATGAGCAGTAAAGCCCATGCAGGGCAGAGCCCCACTGCATGGGAAAATACATTTTTTTCCTGGAGTTTTTCTTTAAGCATAGCTTAAGTCTTTCTCTGAAAACACAGGATTTCATGAAAATATCTGCAAACTTCACTGCTTTATTTCACTAGCAAACACCTTATTAAAGAAATACCTAATCTGCTTTTAAATCCATCCCCCTCAACCACAACTGCTTCTAGGACTAGGAAATGTTACCACCATGTGTTGTGCTTTTACAATTAATATATTTTATGGCAAATTTGTGGCAATTTTAATGGCTTCCCTCCCCAAATTTACCTCTCTCTCTATATATATATATGTATCTATAGGTCAGGACAGCATACACCCAGCATGGAACTTAATCCTTCAGGTGCAGACAATGGAGATCACCCAAAACTCCACTATATAGAAAAACTAAAAAAAGTCCACATTAGACTTTTTATTACGCTTTTCATTTTTATTATATATATATATATATATTTTTATATATATATATATATATATATATATATAATGTACCTTTTTTAATGGTCTTCTGGCCAGTCTTGCGACATCAAGGGTCTTCCTTCTTCTCGAACAGTGGCATGCCAGTCCTTACTGTTGCACCTAGTAAACCCAGGTCAGTATGATGATGCTGCACCAGGGGGTGAGTAGATGAAAGTCTACCTAGGAAAATGATTAAATGACATTGATGGTCATTCAACCCAGAAGACTGGCAACATCCATGCAGTGGTGGAAAGGAATTATTGCGGAGAACAGCGCCATAGTGAAGATGAGTATCACTAGAAAGATGTTTTTTTTCTTTTTATTGGCTTTTGTTAGCTGGAGTTCTGCTTTAAAAATTAGTATATGAAATATGGTCATGAAACTAAAGTAGTACAAGCAAGTCAAATGTGAAAATTACACGGAAAATTACTTTCAGATATCTCTAAAGCAATAACTTGAAAGCAAGTACTGACTGAATACGGCACAATCGTTTTCCTTTAATGGCTGCTTTATGGAAACCGAGTGGTAACTAATATTTACTGTCCCTTTAAATCTGAGCACAGAACAATCTAGTAATTTTCTGGCTGAAACAATCAACAGAAAACAAACGACAAAAATTTCTTATTCTCACTCTTGGTGGAAAATTCCTGCTTATGCCATCCATTAGGGAAGCTGAAGTTTATTGTCTCATAACATAGCACATTATGTCTGCTGGGATATATGTTTATGATCCATAAAAAGGAATATATAAAGATTAGTATGCAGGACGCTTTTATTCCATTGTAATAGTATTCATAATTTTTATCTCCACAAACACAAAATCAGCATATTTGGTCCGATTAATCCTAAAAATAATGCCTGTGCAGTCATTAATAATGTTTCTGTTTGTCTGGGAAAGGAGAGCAGCTGATGGAGGGCAGAGACGGCAGATTGTCAGAAATGCTGTAGATGTACTAGGGTACGGCCAGTGATGGATTATACTGCAGTAACAAGCCTGAAAATATGCCATGGGGGTCATTTACTAAAGGAGTAGAGAATGCTCACTTAGTGAGTGGTGTTCACTTCAAAGTGGAGTTCCGCTCAAGCTGTCAAAAAATAAAAGTCAACAGCTACAAAAACTGTAGCTGCTGACTTTTAAAAAAACAGCCACTTACCTGTCCCTCGGTCCCGCAGTGTGTCCCCCGCAGCCTGTTTCACCAGCCGTCCTGGATTCCAAGATGCCGACATCTTCAGTGTGGGCACCCGGCTGTGATAGCTTGCGGCTTCACAGCCGGGTGCCCACTGAGCATGTGCGAGTAGCGCTGCGCTTCATGAATGGTCCTGTAGTCTTCTGGGACCTGTCACGTGTCCCAAAAGACTACAGGGAGGGAGGGAGGAGGACACCTTCCATTTCGATCGCCTTGGCAATTGGACTGGAAGTGGGTGCGGGTACCTGTCAAATTCGGGTACCCGCTCCCCAAAGGTACCAATCCTTAATGGGGAGCAGTCCTTAAAGCGGAACTTCCCCTTTTGGGTGGAGCTCCGCTTTAAGTGCCCAGTCATGTGCAGTAGGCTGTTAAAGGAAACTGAAAAACATTGGGTTATTGTTTTTTTATTTAAGAAAGCTGAACTTCAGGCAAACAGCTAAATGCTCAGATGAAATACGTACACATGGGGTTGTTTTACCTGCCAAAGGAGTTGTATTTCTGTCTAGCTTCTGTTCTGTTCTGAGGTTTGCACAGGTCTGCCACATAGCACAGCCCTGTTTGGCATTTTCTCTGCTGCATTTGTTATAGTTGCTGGTCTTGACATCTCCCATAATCTACGACTTAAGGAGAAGCAGCAAACTGATGATTTTCAAAATGAAAATAGATTTCATGGTTTAAGTGCTTCACTATTTAAATTTTTAAACTGATGATTTTATCTCCGTCACACTGCTCTCTTCTCCTATCAGCGTATTCCTTCAAAAAGTGGGACTTCAGCCCACCTAGGGCTCCACTACCCCCCCCCTCGGGTGCCTAGGGTGGCCTTTGGGCCCTGGGATGCCCCATCAGCACATCTTTGAATGCACAGACATGCACAAAGATGGGAAATGTTTCAGACTTTCCTGGTAGCAGGCTTTGCATGTGCACAGGAAACCCTGTTATGTGCACAGATGGCTGAGGAAACCAGTGAATGCACACAAGCCCTGCGGTATATCTGCGCACGCTCAGGGGGCAGGGTGAAATTCTTAACCTAGGTGATAGTTGTGAAAGTGCTACTTTGCAGCACAAATAAAGCACTTAAAAAAGAAAAAAAATCAATTTGTAAGAGAGAGAGAAGGAAGGAGGCAAGGCAGCACAACATACCCTTAAAGGTGAAAGTCTGCTTTAAGCTGGCCATACACTAGTAGATTGTCAAACAAATGCTTGTACAAATATTACAAATTCAGGTGTTTATGTTGCTTGTGTAGCCAGGTGTCGGCTATATCATTATAATTTCAGGGACATTTACAGATGAAACTATGGTTATTCCTTTTCCCCCTAGTGCCCAGTACTACTACTGCTACATCACTTCCTGTTAGCAGAGGGGATCCAGTTCTTCTGACAATAGAGGATCTTGGGACCTGTAGTCCTATAGCCAATACATCCTGTATTTCTGAGAACAGAATGTTAATAAAAATGACAAAGTAGGCTTGCTTGCCTTGATCTGAAACCATTTAATGCCTCATGTACACATTCAGTGATATTGAGCCACATAAATATTAATTAAAAAAAAAAAGTAAAATTATGCATGCGAAAACCCAAATTGTGATCTTAAAATGAATATTCTAAATAAATCCAAAAGGTCATTAAAAATTGTCCAGTGTCCAAAAAATATTTTTCTTATATAGTGAACTGTCCAAAGATATGCGTAGTCATACACAGTAGTTCCGCAAAATAAAGAAATAAACATAGTGCATTAATATGCCTACAAAACACCTCAGTGTACCCGTGTGGGAAAAATATATAACTAAATCAAAACACTATGTGCTACCAGCACCAAGTGACTGCAAACGTGAAAATCTATCACAGCAAGAAAAAGTGAAAGTGAATGCACAAACACAAACAAAAACAGAAACACAAAATCTCCTGTCAATCGATGTACCTTACCAAATTGAAAAAAGAAATCAAGTACAAAACATGCTGCAAATCCTCCCTTCAATTGCAAACAAAATGGATGATGTGAACCAGGGGCGGACTGACAACTCATGGGGCCCCCGGGCAGTTGGGGATCATGGGGCTCCTGTGTCCTTGCCCACACTCAAAACACACCCAAAAAAGCCTATAAAAGGTACCAGGGGCATTTTATGGGGCC